TATAAATACAGGAAGCCCCCACCGTTCTAGTCCCTAGGGTCCTGTAGCCAGGGACTTGTCTTAAAGCGCATATGGGCAGTTGTGTACCCACCAGAGACTAGGGTGAGACTCAACTATCTCATTTTCACCTGTTAAGACTCGTTAACATTTAACACTATTTAATCACAACATCTTTCAGCAGAGCACTTCTCAGCAGAGCATATCTTTTAGCACTTGCCAGTCCTGCTGCAGATTCTCAGTTTATGTAAACTGGCTGAGCTATGCTGAAGTCTTGGGAGCTATGCTGATTTATACTAGCTGAGGGCTACTGAAAGGGCTTTATGCTGTATTATTTATGTTTCAAATCCCTTCGAATGACCATACACAAGCCACTGGACATGATTCAGTTGCCCCCTTACATTGATTAAACTGTAACTCCATTGACTCCTAGGGTGTTACTCTGAAACTACACCACCAAAGCCAGACTAAAGCAGGAGGGAAACTTTTCCCTAGTGCATTTATCACGTGTGAATATTTAACCCAATTGTTTACACAGAAATTACATCTCACTTGCCCCATCTTCCAAAATATCTGCAACTCCGGTGATAGGAAAAATACTGTGCAGCATCTCTGAACAATTAAGTTTTTCTTTTCTTAAATCATAATCAGATGTGGCTTTAAAGAGCATTTAATTTCTTAGTCTTTTTCTTGAACATCAAGAATAATAACAAAGAAAAGTACTGGCAATTCGCTGTAATTCTTTAGCTGACTAAGCCCTCTCCCTTCAGAAAATTAATGCAGCTAAGATCATTTAAAATGATACAAGTTACAGACATATGTTCTTCGTGCAATGTTTGTTCAGCTATTGCTCTGTACATGTCAAGTCTACATTTGAGCAGAGTTCTGTTTTGTAAATATGCACATACTTTCTCTGTACTTTTGATGAATTGGGCAGAGAGACAGACTTTTTCATTTTTATTACAAAATTCAGTGCCCTTCATGTGGTCACATTTGTCTGTCATTTAGATCTGTGGCATCAGTAGTCTGTGCCTTCTGTGAGGAGGTGGTGGAGGAGACACTCTTCCATAATAACTTCCTTGATTAGCCCCTGGCTGCAGCTGCTCTTTGCCACCTGTAGCATCCTCTGTGATGTGCTAGGCTTGGACTTCTCTGAGACAACATAGATCTCCTCTGTGCCACCCAGCAGCTGAGGGGAGTGGGATCTACTTGGTCAGTTTCCTGCTGGACGAAGTCGAGATGATAACCCTGAATTGGTGCAGGAACCAGCATACAGGGGCCAGTTTGGACAATGCCCGCCAGCTCTTTTGGTTTCTGGTCTAGGCATGTGGCTCCTTTGTGCTCAGACACTTCACCTTACAATACACAGGTTGTGTCATGCCAGGCTATCAAGGTGGGCACTATGCATGGTGGAAGACAGATAGAGAGATGGACAAACAGACAAACTAGATATCAAATCCATCTTTTGCATTGAAGTCATAAGATTTTCTTAACTGTGGAAACATTACTGATGTTGGTATATATAGGAAAGCTAGATTCTTCTCTAGTAAAATGTGGGCTTCCTTCCAGAAATATTCCAAAGCGGCATGAATCAAAAGAACATGTTCTAGGCATGATGGCCCTCAGTGGAATCCAGGAATCTTTCATTCAGCCATATGTTAGATTGTACAGAACTAGCTCTTCTGCTGGTGTAAATCAGCCTTGTTCTCTTCTGTCATTGGAACTGTACTGATTTACACCATCTGAGGATCTGGCCCATTGTATATATGGAGGCATGTGAAGTCTATTACAAATCTATACACATGTACATATTTCCATGTATACATTTCCATCTGAAAACATGATGGTGCTGTTCTTTTTTCATAGTAATTTTTATT